CCCCCACACACCCCACCCTTGCAAAAAAGGAAAACGCCGAAAACATGTGCAGAGAGTCCCTCATACCTTGAGTACAAGGTCCCAAGACTCACGCCCCGATGCCGCCTTCATCAACTGCAAAGGGGCTGGCTTCCTTACCGAGCACGGCAGTAGCTGGGGACTGCATTGTCGCTGAGTGCGACAACACTGTCAAACCTCAAACAGAATGGAAGGGGATGGAAGAAGAGGGGAGAGCGCTGTCTCTACCTCCTAAAGACTGTCCAGTATCATTAGTAGCATTTCTGGTCTGTGACGTCACAATTTGTGAGAAAAGCGAGAACTCTTTATGCCCGTAGAAGAGAATAGCAAATCAAGGAAAGCTGAACCAACAGAGTCTGTAGTTCCCCTTCTAAAAATGGTTTTACAGGAAAGGGTCCAGTGGCGTCGGGCCTATTCCTAAATCCTCTGCAATTGGGGGGAGCACTGGTAAGAGTATTAAAGCAGACAGCGTGAGGAGAAATACAAGTAACCCTTGCCTGAGAGTACCGACCTCCGTGACATCATTCAGCGCCGACTTCTCTTGATTACGCTGCAATATAACCAAGGCCAGCAGCATATTCACAGTAGGAGATTGATATTTGGTGGTTGGCAAGAGAGAGGAGAGCAGAGAAGCACACGGCAACACACCATATGAAGGTTAGTCCGCAGCTGTGAGGCCAGGCCTACCGTCCTCACCCGAATATAACGCCCGGTCATTATAGCTGTATTCGAGGCACTTTTCAGTCCAGGTGCAGCGATAATGACCGGTCGTTCTATTCGGGTGAAGACGGTAGGTCTGGTACAAAAAAATACTGACTGAACCAGGTCAGCAAACATAAAACAAACATTTTTAGGAAAAAAAAAAGGCGCACAAGAGAGACGAGCGGATAAGCAAAGAAATGAAGGAAAGCAGTAACAGTGAAACAAACTTCAACAAAGCCAATATCTGATCCGTGGTCCTCCGGGCAACATTAAAAAAAGAAAAAGATGACAACAAAGAAGAAGAGATAAGAAAAAGTCCGCAGCCCTGGGGTAGACAGTTTGTGAAATGCAGTGCCCTCCTTGCATGTGCGGTTCAGTAGAGGAGGTGCACAGCACATTTGCTTAGCAACTCGCAGCCAGGCACTGCTACTTACTCCTATGTTCATGCTAGGAAAGCACGAACCTGCCCGTTACTAAGACCAGGTGCATCATTTCCAAGCATGAACATAGCACCAGTGGGGCCTGCCTCTCAGAGTCACACCTCAATCCATATGGGGAGGGCAAACATGTTGGGCTAGCTGGAAAGAAGGGACATCTGCTGGGCAAATATGGAATGTACTAGGTTATGCAGCTGTTGATTCGCTGTTCACATTTGGCTAAAAAATCTAACAGCCGTGAAGCTTCTTTAGAAGTTTGACAATAATTGTCCTTTGGGACATCCGCTAAAATTGGAACGATACAGAGAATGAAGATTAGCATGGCCCAAAAGTTGAAACCCCTTCTAAAATATTGCCATCATGTGGGGAAGAACCTGGAGGAATTAATATTTTCGGTAGTGGTTGTGGTACACACCCAGAAAGCATTGGTTAATCTTTTTCATCGGGAACATGACAATAGACTAAAGAGGTACCACCCTGATGTGCTGAAATGGTGGAAAAAGACAGATTTGCACCGCATCCGGGTACTCCATTCGCAGGAGGACTGGTTCACTTTCTTCCCTGGAACCCCGCTTGCCAACCTCCCCTTCGATCCGGAGGAATGGCAATGGAAGCCAGCAAGAAAAACGGGGGTAAACAGGACTTTTTTCACCTTGTCAGTGAAATCTCCCTATCGCCTCCTGAGACCAAGAGTAAATGTGAAAGAAATTGTGCGAGAGCGATGGATAACCCATATGAACGTTGGAAGGGATGCAGTTCGACCCATCCGGTCGTTCAAGGCCACGAGATCTAAACCGGCAAAACTGGCTTCGCTGCAGTGGCAGATAACATCAATCGTCAATCAAGGTCACCGCCGCGGAGTGGAGTCGCGCGCGCCAGATAACTGCACGCAGCAAGGAAAATAGCGCGCGCGCGCTCGACGATTGCGTGCAATTGGGCGCGCGCCCTGAGCTGAAAATTGGACCACCGGTGGTCTACGCTGAGGAGCTGAGGTGGTCCAAATTTCAGACCAAACGGTCCAGTGGATCATGAGATATCGAAGTTCTAGGGCGCGCCATGAAATTCGARCGTGTTGGGCGATGAGGACGACGGGGGGATGAAGAGCGCCATGAGTGGTTAGCACACGCAGCCAGGGCATCAGTGTAGAAGCGTGCACGCCATTAGGCGTGAGAGAGAAGCGCGAACATTCGTGTTTTAGCTGGTGATGCTTCCGGTGGGTGTACTCCTGCCCTCCACGTGACAGCGTCCTCTCTCCACGGTCTCCACGTGGCGAGGGGAAGGAAGGAGGGTGGAGGAGTGAGAATTGACATCCTGATTAGTTGTCGGATGCCAAGCACCGCTACGACAGGTTCGTAGGGGCGAAAGCATTTCCGCTCATGGGCGGGATCCGATTTCTAGCGTTGGACAAGCGCTAAGGAGGGGCGACAAGCGTTGGGAGATTTATACCGGATGACACGCATGGCCTATATACGAGATTAGTCATCATCGTCGCCATCATCAACATCATCATCATCACCATCATCTTCATGTTCAGCATCGAGGTGGAAAGAACGTGGCAGCGGGAGTGCTGGGCAACAGAAGGACAGAGAGGAGCAGCAGCATCAGTATCAGCATTATCAGCAGCAGTAGCAGCATTTCTGACATCACCATCATCATTATGTGCATCTTTACTGGTGAGTCATCATCATCTTCATCATCAGCTTCATCATCATCATCATCATCATCATCATCAGTATCATCATCATTAGTATCATCATCATCAGCATCATTATCATCATTATCTTCATCCTCATCGTCAGCATAACTGACATATCATCATCGTCATCATCATCAATATGAGCATCTTCATTGGTGCGTCATCATCATATTCATCACCATCATCATCACCATCATCATCATCATCATTATTATCATCATCATCATCACCAGCAGCAGCAGCAGCAGCAGTAGCAGCAGCAGCATTATTGATATCATCATAATCATTATCATGAGTATCATCATTGGTTAATCTTCATCATCATCATCATCATCTTTATCATCATCATCATCACCATTATCTTTATCGACAACTTTTTGTTATCAGTAGAGTTTGCTCTTCAAGGCTTCGTGTCGCTTTTCCTATCATCACCATCATTCCCGTTATCATTATCTTCAGGGCGCTATCCTTCGCCTCCAACAAAATCCAAGAGGAATGACAATTTGGTGAGGGGGTAGGGGAGAGCTCTGCCCCGCAGGGGTTTCATTAGGAGGGAGGTGGAATCCTGGAGGGGTATGGGCAGATTGTGAGGAATACTCTTTTCTGGGGCTGGGCATCAAATCCCAGCGGGGGCAGATTAGAGTAAAGGGATAGATAGGGTAATGCAGAGAATGGAGGTGTGCTGAAATTCTCGGCTATCATCATCTGATTATTGTTATATTTAGCTTTTTTGTGTTCTGAAATTCTGGCTGCATCTCGTATTCTTCCACATCCGGGATATAGGTCTTTAGAGATGGTTGAACCTGGACTGATATCTTCTGAGTTGCTCTGTTCTGTGCCCTTGGTTTGCCGATGCCAGAACGACGCTGGCCGGAGCTGGGGCGTTGCCCTGTAACCTGTAAATAGCAGGAGTGTCGGGCCTTGTAGAGAGATCTGGGGTTTGCTGAGGGTGGAAGGCATTCCAGTGGTGAACCGGGGGGTGCTGAAAGGAGGCGAGAAGAGATCAGCTATGGTGGATGTTGGTCAGGTTGTTTTTGTCTCTGTAGTATAGTGTCCTGGTACAGGGAGGGCTAGGAGTTGTACTGGGATTAGGAGCCCAGAATAGCTGATATAGCATCATCATCATCATCATCATCAACATCATCAGCATCAGCATCATCATCAGCATCATCACACCATTAGTTTTCATCATCTGATTATTGTTATATTAAGCTTTTTGGTGTTCTGAAGTTTTGGCAGCATCTAGCATTCTTCCGCATTCGGATATAGGACTTCAGAGATGATTGAACCTGGACTGATTTCAACTGAGTTGCTCTGTTCTGTGCCCTTGGTTTGCCGATGCCAGAACGACGCTGGCCGGAGCTGGGGCGTTGCCCTGTAACCTGCTAATAGCAGGAGCGTGAGGCCTTGTTGAGAGATCTGGGGTTTGCTGAGGGTGGAAGGCAGTCTACTGGTGAACCGGGGGGGGCTGCAATGAAGTGAGAAGAGATCAGCTATGGTTGACAATTAGTTAGGTGGTTTTGTCTTTGAGGTACAATGTCTGGGTATAGGGAGGGCTGGGAGTTGTTCTAGGATTAGGAGGCCAGAATAGCTGATATAGCATATTTTTCTTTCATTTTTCATATTTTTGAATCATCATTCTCATTAGCATCATTAATCAGTGTCATTAGTACCATCATGGTCATCATTTGCGGTTTCCGTATGTTCATTCCGGGCAGACTGTGAGGACCCCGGCCTCAATCTTATTATTGGTAATATCAGCCTTGGGCACTGAGCCCGGTTAAAGAGCACCGCTGCCTTCCAACCAATAACTGGCTAATAGATCGGACATACCTGGAACAAAAGGGCTTAGCGCTACCATGGTGTCATTCCTGTTTGACCTCCTTCCCCCACCGTAAGATCGCGGAAACCATAGAGCATATCTTTTTGCAATGCCCGGGGGCGGTTCTGACATGGCGATGGCGGGACAGGATCTGGCGACAACTTGGCACTATATCCACATGGCCATGGGACTGGGGAGTTTTCTTATCTGAAGCCTGGTCTTCCCCCACAGACTGTCCTTTCAAAAATAATATGTTTATGACGGGCCCTTCGGCGAAAAAGGTGCATACTCGCGATTGAAGGCGTCAGGATAGAGGGGGAAGAGATCACTGAAATGCAATAAGTTCAGGGAGAACTCATGGTACAATGGCAAAGCATGAAAGCAAACTGGATCTGTTTCAAACGAAAAAAGACATAATGCAAGCCATCCGACAGTTCTCCAGGGAATGGTTGGGGAGGGAGGGCTGAAGACGTGTTCAGAAGGGATTATGGTATCTGTTTTAGTGATTGGACCAAGGTTGACGAGGCGGTTCCTCTGCGCCCTCCTGATTTTCCTGACCTCTTTCCACCCCACGGACTCTCCATTGTAGATCTACAGTGGTACGGAGCTTAGCTGTTTAGGGATCTTCAATAGGCAGATCTACGTCATGATATATGGTTCGGGGGAGGGAGGAGCTAGGGCCTCGCTGCACTACTCTTGACTCGGGAAAAAAATCACGAGTGCGTCTAGAGTTGTCAGAGTCCCGAAACGGCCTAGAGTTCGGTCCTCGCTGCACTTACTCTAGATCGTCCTGCTCATGAGTCACTCTTGAGAGGCCAACACAGATTTCATGAGCAGTGCAGCGACGGCGGAACTCTAGCCAGTGTCGTCCCCCCCCCCCCCCCCCTTGAACCGAAAACAAGGAATTGTACATGCCCGTGGCGCCGTCCCACCACATAGTGTGAACAGAAGCCCTTCATGAGTGCTCTAGAAGCACTAAACGACAGCCACGGCGTGTGTTGTCCGTCCAGAGTCCAGACCCCGCTCGCTCTTGGAATCCGGCGGCCTTTCAAGAAACCGTCCGACCTCCCTTGCAAAAACGGAAGTTGCAGGCAGGCGAACAAGAGCGCTCTAGTCGACTTCGCCTGACGACTCCCTGACAGCTCGTGAAATGCGTTTTCAAGAGTGAAGCGGCAAGAGTAGTGCATTGACGACAACTCTTGTCGTTTGCAAGAGTTGCATCTGATAGCTCTTGACGCATGAAACTGTGGCCTTGTTCACGAGTAAGTGCAGCGGTGCGGCGCTCATGAAAATGCTGATTTCAAGAGTAGTGCAGCGAGGCCCCTAGTGTTTAACTGTGTATCCGGCGCCGCATGCAAGGTGAAGAGGTTCCCCCTTCCTTCCAAATCCTTCTCAGTCAATCCCCTGGACTCCAGGGCAATCAATGCTGGCAGGAACACTCCACAACTTCTTTCTGATGTTTTTCAAATTCAGTCTGTGTAAGGGACGCTGGACCCGCTTTCCAGCAGGTGATGCTCCCCACCAATAGATGGAGCCTCTCCCCAGGTGCTACTGGTGTCTGCTCTTATCAGCACCACTAACACTGGTGGGGGCGTTTAAAAAAAAAAAAAAAAAAGCATGGCCCCTCCGCAAGGATGACACGCATAAATTGAGAAATGGTCCAAATTAAAAAAAAAAAAAAAGTTTGACAATAATCTGACCATTCTGAGACGTATGGGTGCCCGTCAAACCCTCACCAGACTGACAATGAAAACTATCTGACTCTCCACTCTTCTTAAAGCACCAGTACACCACACATCGGCCCGCTGGTGTCAGCACGAAACCCGCACCACTTCGGAGGCTGCCAATTTTCTTTTTTTCAAGGGCGCCCCACGCCGCGTGGCCCCTCCGGGTTTTGCTTGTCGCAACAAAAACTTTCTGCAAGGCTGGGGCCGTGTACTTGCGGTTAAAAAAACGGCGGTTCCCTAAGGTTGCGTTCAGTTGCTAACGTGATTAAAAGAAGTTCATTGGAAAGAACCTTCAAAAAGCAACCCCTCTCCCCCCCCAACCCACCACCATCAAAACAAACCACTGTTCAGTGCCCTTTGCAAAGAGTTCTGTTTTCATGTGTTTTTCTTTTACCCACTATAGTACTTTGTCTGGCCTGACTATAGCCTACCAACTATAGTATGGGCACATTCGACTATACTCAGGCCATGTACTCTATTCGGTTCAGTAGCTGACTAAGTCTGCATATTACATAGTCAGTAGACACTATTCTGTAGGTACGTGACTACGCCTGGATACTGCATAGTTAGTACTATGGAGTACTATGGACAAATAGGATATACTGCATAGTCAGTACTATGGAGTACTATGGAGTGAGAGTTGTCATATGCATGGTCGTCCTATGAATTTGATGACCTATGACGCGGTGACGACCACGCATCATGTATGGTACTTCCCATGCTTGTCGCCAACCAGTTATAGCTCTCATCAAATTGATAAGTCAGGTGGAGGTTGGGCGGACAGAGGGAGGAGGTCGAGCGAAGGTTGCGTGAACGAAGGAAGAGCAGGTCGGGCAGAGATCAGGCGGGTGAAGGGAGGAGGTCGCGGAGGGAGAGTTGTTTGACTATTCATTATAGCTAGAACATCTCATCACATTCTTTACTCATGCTTGCCTGACGAGTGTGGACTGGCACCAGCCGAAAGGCATGGGAATAACAGCAGCAAGAGACCTAGTTGGCACCATAGTCTCTCCTCGGCTTTGTACTTCAAGGTTTACCTTTTTTTTTTTTTTTTTTTTTTTCCCCCGAAAGCAAAGGCCCCTTCTATTCTGGGGGGCGTCAGTCACCTTATTCTGTGGTGGTGCTTTTCTCCTCTTGTGTCTCTCGAGTCGTGCGTGGGCCTATGGTAAGTTTTGTTTTCAACTTCACTTTTGTTGTAGCGGTTCTTCTTGTGAATGTCTTGTGTTGCACTTTGCTCACACTCAACGCAAAAAAAAAAAAAAAAGGAAAACATACCATTTTGGCATTTTCATTTTTCTCTATTTTTTAATTCTTTCTTTTTAATCCAAGGGTGATGGCCTTACACCGCCAATACACGCCCCCGGCCTTGCAGAAAGTTTTTGTTGCCACAAACAAAACTCGGAGGCGCCGCGCGGCAAGGGGGGCTGTGCAAAAAAAGAAATCGGCAGCCTCCAAAGTGGTGTGGGTTTCATGCTGACACCCGTGGGCCTATGTGTGGTGTACTGGTGCTTTAAGTCTTTAAGATATGATCATCGTCCAACTGAAATCAGACCGGCCCCAGGCCCCCAGGTAATTCAGAACTCGCTCATCAACTTCATGTAGTTCCATCTGGATTCTAACCCAAGTCAGTATTTCAACAGTTCACTGGTGTTTCAATTTTTCGAAATTTCTTGCCGCAGGACTTATCAATTTGCCCACATCCATCCGTACTATTTTTTTATTATGTTCAGGCACCACGGTAATCTTCTCCCCACCATTCCAATTTATTATGATGGATGCAGCTTTTTTTTTTTTTTTGTCCTGTTTCTAACTTTCTAAAGAATTTGGACCATTTCTCGATTTATGAGTGTCATCCTTGATTCCGCAGGGGTCATGCCAATGTGCATGCCCTGTATCGTTCCAATTTTAACGGATGTCCCGAAGGACGAAAGACAGGGATGCAGCGTGGTTCTCATCTTTGGCTTTCTTTATTTTCTGAAGGGGTTAGCCCCCCCTAACATTATTCTATTCCTCCGATCGATCTGACCAGGACTTAAACTCATGAACTATTCGCACACTGTTACGTGTGTGTACCATTGACCCACATGGGCAAGGTAGCTTGATCCTCATCTCAGGGTGTACTCACACTAGTAGCTCTATCTTAAATGTATCTGACCGCATTTACGGCCAGACCTGGATGCATCTCACCACAATTACGTCCATAAATAGGTAAAAAGGTCCTAGTGCAAGTATGCCCCATTAGTAGACTAGATGCAGTAGATATTAATCTAGATTCTAGACCTTAGACTAGATGATCTTGCCCTCAAAGATCTTCCCACTGGATTACAAAGCAGCTTGAGTGTCTGACAGACTGACACACAGATACCCCTATGGTCCCACATGGCTGTCAGATGTATGGCACTGTTTTCAAAGACATGAATTTTTTTATTGTTCTTTTTTTTTTTGGGACTGTTTCTCGATTTATGCATGCCATCCTTGGAGCCATGCTAATCTTCTCTATATCGTTCCGATTTTAACGGATGTCCCCAGGGACACCATATGTCTCTGTCACTCCTTGAGCGACACGGATTCCTTTATCTGTTTGCTCTGTTCGATCTTCACCCACCTTTAGGACGTATCTGAGCACAATGTAAGGCCAGATTCAGTCCGGAAGTTGACCTCAATGTTACCTCAGTATAATTAGGAGGCCAGAATGGACAGGAAAAAAAAAAAACAATCGAAGGAAAGCCAAGAAGTGTGTGACGAGTGATTCCCGACTACTTCCATGAGTAAGAAAGAAAGATGAAAACTTGAATGTGTGACGAGTGATTCCCGACTACTTCCATGAGTAAGAAAGAAAGATGAAAACTTGAAGTGCTGAAAGGATAAAGCCCCTCGGGGTAAAAAAAAGAGAGAGATTTGAAATTGGTTTCTCACTCTGTTTGTTTAATGCGTGTAACCCGTGCTCCGATTTCCATTTCCTCCGTGTTGCAGTCTGTGTTTTTCCCATGTGTGGTTTCCATGATCCGATTCATGTCATGTGCCTCTTAGCACTATGTTGACGTCTTCTAGAGAGAGAGAGAAGAAGGGAACCAAAGCTGAACACTGCACAGCAGCCTTTCGTAGCATACACTGAGATTCCTGATGGTGGATGTCTCACCTGGAGGATGAGGACATACAAGCCCCATGGCAATGACAAAGTGCCTCCTAGCTGCATTCACCCAACCCAACACCACAAAGAACAAAGGGAAGATCCACAGCCAGAAAAGAACGAAGAGAGCAGACATCAATGACATGCGGTGGTGGGAACAGACCTCCATTCGACTTCAAAAAACCTAGCTGTTAGCTTGAATACTACACTCTTGCAGAAGTTCAGCGATACATAAAAGCCAGGATGCCCAAGACTTCAGGGTCGGCCGGTCTAGGGCGCTGCTGCAGCGACTTGTCGCTCCCGAAACTCACCTGACAGCATTCATATGCACCTTCAGTCAGGCCCTGCTGCTGAAGATGATAAGGTCAGCGGTTGTCGCCCATATGTACACTTGAAAAAAGGTATAGTTCTCCTCCAGTTTTTCATTTCAGAAGCAAGCAAGGCAAAAGGAAACCTCATCAAGATTTTCCAGCAGCAGGGTGTTCTCAGTGTTATGGATCCCTAGACACCATCTGAAATAGCGAGCAGGTTTCATGGACTCGTGCTCCAGCAGTGTGGAGGATTGACCGTCAGCTGGCCTAACATCTACCTTTAACTGCCATTTCGTCAAAATGGACATCTTTTATTTTTTGAACGAAATTGAAACCGAGTTTTTTGGCCGAAAACTCGTCAAAATTTGCTGTTCCTGAGGGTCCAGCGTAAAAGACGCTGGACCCTCAGGAACAGCAAATTTTGACGAGTTTTCGGCCAAAAAACTCGGTTTCAATTTCGTTCAAAAAATAAAAGATGTCCATTTTGACGAAATGGTTGTTCTTTCCTCTCAGATTCAGCTATCTGAACCTGTCATATTATCGCAAAAACACAAGAAACTTGAAGAAAGGGGAAAACACAGTCAGAGTCAGGCCCGGTGCAGTCATAAATATTTTCACTCATCAGATTCCATTAGAATTCGAACTCACGTCTGCATCTCAACAGTTCACAGGTGTACCAACTGAGCTAGGCCAGTGGGTATATGTATTGTTTCAATGTTTTGCTATTTTTGAAACAGTAGGCTTTTTCAACCATTTTTGTTTGTGCTAGTGCCCTTGTGTGGCGAAGCACAAGAGTTGACGCTCTCACAAACCAAAGCAGTCTATCGTCCTTTCCAGTTTGGCACCAACCCAATACGCTGAAGCAGTGGGATAAGGAAAACATGGATTTCGAGAATTTGATAACAAAATAGATAGAAGACATCGATGATTCGATCTGCTGAAGCTACGAAGGCTCAAGAAGGGAGAACGAAGGAGGGAAGAAATGAAGAATTGTGTCGAGCAGGAACAGGAGAATGAATGAGACAGAGGCAGAGAACACTCACTCACCAGACTCAGACCAAGAAGCACATAGGTGACGATGCTAGTGACTTGCAATACCCCTTTACCAAAAGCTGCCTGTACGTCACAATGGACACAGAAACATTTGTGACACAACCAAGCCAGGAGTTCATGCTAAAGCTTCATGAAGAAAAAGACAATAATGAATAGACCCCTCCCCCCGCCCTCCCCCCACACACACAACCTTTTCTCCTTTTTTTTTTCCCCCCTGTCTCTTTTAGAAAAGATAATGACGGACCTATATTAGATTTCCTCCATACAATTCTCTACACATTCACTGATCTGTCAATCATTGGACTGCCAAGTTTAGCATCAGTCGATTGATTACTGTGCCAAGCATGCATGGAGGTCTGGATCCTGGTCAGCCAGTCATGACCTAGAAAAGCCCGACTCTGCTACCTTATTGCCCCGAGCATAACTCCCTATTATCATGGATGGCTGTATTTGGGCAGGATAACGCCCGTATACATTCATGAATGATGATAGGGAGTTATACCTGGAGAATGAGGTAGCAGGGCTGATTTGTGCGCTGCTCGTCCAGCTTGAAACTTCAAAAGAAAGCTAAGCTACCTGGCTACTGTCTTTCCCCAAACACGATGCACTGTATTACGACGACTGTATCAGGCATGAAAGATAGCTCCTATACATTAATTATCGGGGTGTGTTGTGTTTTGAGGAAAGATGGTAGTCCAGGACTCTGCGCCAGACACAACATACTCCCTGGTGCCTGTTGTATGCCTCAAGCACGATGGAGAAAACGTTTTGAAGTCACATAAGCACGCGCCTTCTTAAGCCACAGAACTACATGCCAATCGCGGCATACCAGGCAGTAGAAGCAAGAGTGCATCACGCTGTTCACTGTGGCCAGGGTTGTCACGCGGGGGCCCCCGGGGGCAAATCTGGGGTAGGGGTTTGACCCCC